TTGTTTTGACAAGGGCTTTGGTTCGGGATAATAGGAAATAGAATGTGCACACGGGAACTTTTTAATTAGACGCAAGAGTCAAAAGCTAGAATTTACAAAATTTCAGTTTTTATCGAGCCACTGAACGATTTCGTTTTGACATTATATAAAATTTTAGTGATTTTATCTAAAATAAATGACTTTGAAAATCTATCTCCCAGTTATTGTCACCGCATCTCAATTTAAAGGGTTTGAAATGGGACTATAGAGCCGCAGGTTGCAGACATCTTGTAGCCTTGGTTGGATATTATTTTAGATCTCGGGTCCAAAATTATATCCAACAAAGGCTTTAAAAAAAATAATAATTTAAAGATCTCCCTAATGAGTTTTAAATTTCACACAATAACAAATGTTTCAGACAGGCTTTTGATTTTTTAGTTTAAAAGTAAATATTTACCTGACTTTTGCCTTTTAAAATAAGACACGGCACGTTAGCTTCGACGGCATATACCTGTATGACAGTTTTTATATTTGAATGAAAAGCAACCCAATCAATATAGGTACCGAATCCGTCTGTCCGTCCAATTGTCCATCCCTACCGGAAAATGTCAATGCCACACTATGGACGGTCAGTAACTGGTTACGGCTCATTGGCTGTAGGTACAAGAACAATGTTTATGTCGTAAGTCGTGATGGTAACATTGCGTAACCATTCGTCTTCTCATACATATTCAGCGTTCACTTACATACTGAACGACTCACGTAATACTAAAATATATAAAATGTATTTAATAGGTATACGTTTCTTAAACCTAGAATACTTAGTAACCTAGTGTAGAAATCTAGCCCAGTTATGTGAACACAACAAATATATTTGTCTCTCTGTGTTATAAGTCATTCATTTGTACTATAGTTAATTTCACGTATCATTTATGTAAACTGAAGATTTAAAATGTATTGGGATCGAGAGTCCAATACGAAGGACAGAAGCGCTAAGAGATTCAGGTACAGACTGAGTCACATTATGCATAAAATAAATAATGGAATTCAATTAGCGACAAAGAGAGAGAACAAAGAGGTATAGATAAGTTGCGAGCCGACGGAAGTTACCATAAAGTCGGACCGTTTATCGGCCGAGTCGGGACAGCCGGGCGGGCGGCGGCGGCGACGGCGGCGGCATCGCGTCAATGCACTGCACAGCCCATGGTTAGCAAGGACATTCGTGTATTGTGCGACAACCAATGCAATAAACATAACCTTTTACATCGCATTAACTATCAGTTTGTCATTCAATCCGATATATCTAGTACATTCGTATTCTGAACACACAGACTAATCCACTAAACATACGCAAACGGATTCTATTCACTTTTATCATTATATTAATGTTTCTGTCATTACACAATAATCATTTTGTGTTTAAATAGTTATTATAAATGAATTTAATATAATCAGGCGTTATTTTGTCAGTGCTTTGCTGCATAGTGCAGAGGTGAAACAAGTTTAGAGCGGTTGTGTTGGCAAGATTTGTTACCGTTTGTACATGTGAATTTGTGCAGGCGGTGCCCAGCGGTTCTTGTAGAAACTGACTGGGCGTGGAATTTGCTAGTTATCATAGTTTCACGGTTATTACAAATTCAGTGGGGCAATACTGGTAATTTTTACGTAATAATAGCATCAACAATAGAGAATTTGGATTTTAGGTAGATAGTAATGTTGTGATTCTATTGAGATGTCATTATTACGAAACATTAGCAGAAATGGCCTGCTGAAAGAACGATTTTCCGATACGTTGTTTTTTACATAAACTCATCGATAGGAGGTAATATATTTATTATATATTACCTAGTTAATTTTTTTTACGTGTTTGCAAAGAGTGATTCATCAATCACCATGATAATGTTCTCAACTGTATTGATGCTATTGATTATTGAAAAAACTAGTTATTTGGTGTACTAATCAAATCCGGGACTAGATGCAATACTAACCTGAACGCTGTTAAAAAATGACGGTATTAATCGGGATAAAACCTGGTCAAAACCTGTCGTAATATAAAGAGAATATTGGAGTAATCTTTCACACCAAACAAATTTAAATGAAGGTTTCGTTCATACGAGGCATCGGGGTCTTCTTTTGAATGAACATACAACAGCTTTTAAATCAACCATTCTATTATACGTTATCAATGTCATAATAATTTAATTGTCATAATAACTAGAAAATTAACCACGCAATTTAATGGCGCCGATCAATTTATGCTGTTCCCCAAGTTCTATGTAATTATTTCAAGACAAACCACCACCACCCACTATGTGAACAGTGTTGGTGGAACGGACCGTACTAATCAAGCTCAGACTTTTCTGTCTGGTTCAGTCTGGTCTGTTATCTGAACGCAGCCTAATGAAATGAATTGATCGTCTAAATAGTCTGTTTAAATAAATTCATGTATGTACAATGCAATGTTACATATTATGCTTTCCATTGTATTTATAGGTATGGCCAGTATGACCTGATATTTCAATTTGAATAGGTTTGGAATCATGTCACACGAATTTCGAGATTGTCGTGAATCACATCCACTAATTATCCTGGCTCCACTGTGCCAAGTTATTCTCCATGAATTATTTAATGTAACTCTCCATAATATTATCAATAATTTCCTGCCAATACCCTATTATTAATTCTTTTGAACAGTAATTGTTAATATCAATCAATGTTTTTTATATCACTATAAAAATATATTTGAAACTGTAAAATTAAACTATTCTACATAAATATTTTTTAATAGGAATATTGGTTATCACATATAACCAAGACTTTAATAGGAGTATTGGCTACCTATAAGCAAAATAGGTATAAATTAATTCAGTTTTTTTTTTATGGGATAGGGGACAGACGAGCAGACGGATCACCTGATGGTAAGTGATTACCGTCGCCCATGGACACCTGCAACACCAGAGGGGCTACAAGCGCGCTGCCGGCCTTGGAGGGAAGGGTTGAGGGGTAGAGGGGAAGGAATAGGGAGGGGTTGGGCCTCCGGTACCCTTACTCACACGACAAAACACAACGCAAGCGTTGCTTCACGTCGGTTTTCTGTGAGGCCGTGGTATCACTCCGGTCGAGCCAAACCATTCATGCCGAAGCGTGGCGCTCTCGCAGTGGAAAGAAATACAAGTACATACATAGTACAATATGACAGATGACAAGACTTTCAATGTTTTTACTTTTGGCCACCATGAGCACTGCAATATTTTACACCCAGTGAATATAGCACTTGTCCACATAGAGAGGCATAACCTTTAAGTCTGAAATAATAGGGAGATGTATTCTTTTTTTGAGTATTTTAAGATAAAAATATAATTGCTTAAAGCAAGAATATCTCTCACTGTAATGATTTTCCTTATAAAATGCATCAACACTTGTCTACAAGCTGATGAATTCAAAAACAATTGAATAGTCATTTAAGAAAATGATTGCAATTAAGTTTATTATGAAAAGACAATTATGATTGTTTGAATTCAGAACTGTACACACTAAATGTTATTAAGAGCAGAAAATCATCTAAAATTCTTCATGTAGAATGGACAATGTATGTCTTGTAATTGAAGTTGGCAGTACATTTGTATGGACTGATAGCACCGAAGAGAACAACCGAGGCGAGGAGGTCATGGGTCATGCCCCGGAAGGCGTATTGCACTCTTATCTCAGACACACTTTGCGTTATCATGGATTTATGCCTGCGCCTTCATCGACACAAATCAATCACAAATGAATATAAAGTGAAGATATTAATGAATAGAATATCAAACTGAAACAGTAAATACTTATTATTGGACTTACTTTTTTTTTAAGGAGTCTCTTTTCAATTCTGTTTTTCAAGTGCTTATCAGTCTAATATAATTTCTTGCCATTTATTATATGGTATGGATTTTAAGACTTCTTTGAAATACTTTGACTTTTTTGATTCTTAAAATCTATATAAATAATGCTATAGCTATATACTAGTTTTATACATATTATTGTTTTATTGATAAGGAGAGAATGGCAAATTGAGCATTAACAGTATTTTTTTATTATTTTGCTACTTACAAATCATTACTATTACTATAAAAGTGTTGCATATAGCCCTCAGCTACTAAGTGAATAACATATTTATCAATTTGCATTACTTACAAAATTATTTAGTAATCAAGGAAATAATGAAGTCTAATATTGCTTTTTAAGAAAAAAAATATATAATACAAATTTTAACTGAGAAATCCTTTAGAACTTGCATTTGCTTATTATTCATTACAGCTTTTTACGTGTTTCTTGGTACAAAACTGAATGAAAAATAGTCATTTCTAGTGTATGCTACATTACAACTTACTGGAGTTAGAAAAACTGGTATATGCAACATCAATAAATTTAATAATCTTGCCTATTTTGACAACATTATCAAGTACATCAAATAGTGATGAAAAGTAGGTGCAAACTAAATAATCACACAGTGATTCATAACAATCATAAAAAAAAAAACATGTAATGAAATCATTTTGTTTTCTAATTTATTTGTATAAAATACAAGAAATCAACCAATTAAACTTAGAAAAAACAAATTAGATATACAACACTACGTTTATTACATTTACAATAGGTATTTGTACTTTGTGTCATTGAGCGCTCATGGCAATTGATTTTCATTCATAAACTACTTTATCTGTCAAAATATCCTACAACAAAAACAAAGAAATGAAAGTCATTTGCACACTTGAATTATAATGTGTTTTGTTATTAATTTCACGAACAACTACTACCTAATATGTACACTAATTTACTGAATTGATAATATTCATTCACACCTGGAAAAGAAATTCTATAGTACCTACTTTTGAGCACCACCTGTTTTCAATGACAACAACATGATTTCCAGTTGGAATATACAGGGAATGTAGCACATATACGTTAATATAAACAGTAATCTGGATAATTCATAAATGTGAATAACTTATTCAAAAATATAAAGTAAAAAAATAACTCACCAATCTTTATTTTCAATCTTTCTTCAACTCGCACTTTACGCGTATCGTCCGCCATGTTAAATCCATTACTGTTTATCTCTTTCATCCGTTGTTATCTCTTTCGGAACGAGCTCGGCCGGCTTGACTGTCCCGCCACTTCCGGAGTGTCGTAATGTTCTACTTCAGCCTGTTTTTGAATTCCGACTAACTATATTCGAACACTTCAAAAGACACTCAATTCGCTTGAAGCCACTTTATTATTATTTGACAAGAATAACTACACCAATATGATTCACGACAGCAGTGCGCATGTGCTCATTCCTGCACTTTATCAATGAATGAATGCACTTTAGAATGGTCCACACCTACATTTTTCCACTGTAATACAAGTATAAAACTATAAGTAACACTATTTTATTTATTTTATTATATATTAGTACAATGTATTGAGTGATGTACACGGTACAAACAATATTTTGAATGATCAATTCATTAATGAAGAATTATGAATGGACAATTACGTCACATCACGCACGACGTTGCGCTTGCGCGGCCGCGGATGTAGTTATGCGAAGTGGTGAGGTTGCTTTGGTAACAAAGTATTTCATGTGATATTTTACATACTCGTGGGGGGAAATAGTGTTTCATCATCTTGACATTAAAAATTTCACTTTTGTTCATTAAATTCATCGCGTTATTAAACGAAAAAAGCATTGAATTTTGTTCATCTCAAAAAGCGTACTATATAAACATTAAAAAAAAAAGGTTGTGAATCATGAAAAATAATATTATGAAAAATTTATTGAACTCACGCAAATATATATTCGACGTTTTTTTGAGATTGCTAATATTAACTGCCCGGCTTCAATAGAATTTTCATGAATATATGATCCGCCAAAATGAGTAATATTTTCACATTCTGAAGTAAATAAAAATATAAGCTATAAGCGATCTCAAATATGTCGACGAAGTATCTTTGTTATTTAGCAGTACGTCTTCTGTTTTTTTTTTTTTGTTATAAAAATCTATTTCAAACTGAAAATCAGATTAATATTTTTAATTAGACTTTGCTTAAATTTTAGTGTTTGTGATGAATATGTTATGGCCAGTAGGCCTACTCGCTAATTCAACTCTCAGTTTAAAGTCGAAATCACCGTAAAAAGTGAACAATTTCAATGTACATATCAAAATCACCTATTCGTATAACCGCTTAAGGAATAACCGCTGAAGGAGTTACTATAACTCTGGCGGCGAGTTACAATAGATCTTTAAGGTCACAGTTCCTCAGGGAACTGCCATAGACCCTTACAACAATAAAAAATAATAGTAATGACTGCTTGCCCGCTGCACTCTGTGTACAATTTATTTCAGTTGTCCTGAGAGTTACAAATTAAAAGGTCAGAAAGCTAAAAGAGGCTCAGTGCGCTTGGCAAACAAACAGTTCAGACAACAAACACGAACAATAAACGCAAACGTGTAGATTTCTGTTTGCCGATTGTTTTTATGTTCGCTGTTTGTGTCAGTACCTATGGGTCGGTTTTAATCACAAATTAAATTGTGCTATTATACAAGGATTTAAAAGACTTGCTAATAGCATCCATAATGGATGAAGCAACCTTTGAAAGTGTTACCATCAGTTATAAATACTGTTACAGAATGCAGTCTGCCCTCGCTCTCAAGAATTCGTCGTGATATGTATAAGGTTCTGTAACCGTTTTAAATGACACTGTCACTCTGACTGTGGTTATCCATATATATATTATGTAATATTAATAATTTAAAGTTACTCTAACTGATCTGATATTTGACACCCAGCTTATGTAACATAACAAAACAAGTACTTGGTTGACAATATACCACACTTAAAACCACAATTAATTCACCGTTGTCTTTTAATCCAACCACTGGACAGTTGCAATGAAAGTCATGATTATTAATTTTATTTGATAATAAGTTCGACTTTTTAGTTGGATGTTATGTTGCTGTTATTTATTATTGTTAGGGAGACATTATCTAAGCAATAGAACGTAAAATATATCTTGTTTTAGTTTCCTAAAATAACGACTCACGTCATTGTCGACAAAGGTTTATCGAATAGATTTTAAAACAACCATAGCGGTTATTTGATAATAATTCTAAGTATTCTCGTTGATGATATTTAATATTCTGTAACAGTGATTTATTGGGTATCATAGTGAGGATCTTATATTCTTTATTATTCGTATGGCAATTCGCGCTATCCGTTTAGGAATATAACTCTCGAAGCTAAAAAGTAAAGCCTGAGCTAGACATGTGCTTAAATATTTCAAAGTCGCCAAGTGTGGCTCGTACATTTGCAAATGTGTGCAAAATTTAAATACACATTTGAAGTTTATCATCATGAGTCGGCTTTTGCATATTCTATCTGAGGTTAAAAAAGTATACAAATTTCAAAATTTGTGTGGCCATCAGACTTGCTGCAATGTTTATTAAATGTAAGTTGCTTTGTGCTTGTATTTTTGTGTTAATTATGGAATACTGATTTTGTGATTGAATTTCTCCAGTTTCTTCAAATAGAACCTTCTTAATGTAAACGACAAGCCTCGTAAGCAAATGGCTTCGAATAAAAATAGTTTCTCTTTGCCTTTTCCTCGTCCGATCTTTTGCGATTGTCGCGTCGCTTAACCTCCGCAATCGCAGATCAAACACGTTAACCATAACCCCATCGAGCTATTCACTTGTTTATATAGGAGGGATATGTCCATATATTTTTTAGTGCATCTGAGATTGCGCAACTAATATCGATTCTATCCGATATCCGAAAGTAGATTGAGCCGGTCGAGTTTTCATACAATTGAAGCGAGCAGACCTTGAGTTCGTACATGCAATACGAAGCTGAGGAGATTTTTGACCAAGATTCTCCAATCTCATGTGTAAACAGATACTTCCGATTGTTCATATATATTAAAAGGGCGTGCGATCCGTGTGATATCGTTCATCGATATCAAATTGCAAGAAAATCCTATAAGTATCTAAAATAAATTATAAAAATATATTTATCGTAACAAACAGTTTAACAAGATTATTATGTTTTCGTAAACGACAATTATATCATTTGGCTGCGACAAATAAAATTAAAATTAGTTCTTGAAATCAAACTAGATGTCACTAGCGATGTTTGGATCTTGTCTATGATATTCATTCATATTTTGTTTCTGACGTAATGAAAGTAAATTGAGTATCGAAAATCAATAAACATGACGTCGTTTCTCATTTATTTGAATCGTAAGTTTAAGTTATTTACTATCTTACGTGTAAAGGAACGATGTTTTGTTTACAAGTTAACGTTAGTGGTAAGTCAACTTATTAGTTGCTCGTACCTTCAATTGACTTGATTCATTCGAACTCAGGTTTGGAATCAAGAACACGCTGAATTCAGTCTGTTTCTTTATGTGCAGTATTTCCATATGTGCCATTATGCATCCACACGTCGAAATATATCAATATAAATATCAAAATCAATTCAGTCTACGCTGGTAGATAGTACTTGTGAATGTCGAAAACTTTGTCACCTGTTCGCAAAACTAAAGTGGGAGATCTTGTACTGAGAAGAACCGACAAGAAACTCAACAAGGACTGCTTTTTTTCTAGCTGTTTTAATTCACACGGAGAAGTCTTATCGGAATGTGACTTATATTTCAATAAAACTGATTTCTAGAATAGGTTGAGTAGGAAGTCAATCTATTATTGATAATATTATTGTAAGAATCAAAAAAAGACATACCCACCGTACGAATTAACATAACACCTGGCTCGACGTCCGCCGTGGGCATGCAAAATCTTTAGCGATAGTATAATAACTGTAGGTGTTTTTGTGATTTTGAAATTTAAAGTTATAAGTATAACCTTGCTGTTCGTTTCGAACGAATGTTTATTGTTGATTGCGGTTTTTTTATTAATATGATTTAATAATGAATATAAGATTTGCTGACTAATCATGTTTTTTTTATTCTTAATTTCGAAAGGAAAGCTTATTTGCACGTTATACTTTGCACAAACGTAATTCTAGCCAGAAATCATGTTATTTTGTACGAATACCTAGTATATTTGATACAAGTCGGGTAAGTACATACATATTAAACGGATTTTTTTATTATAATTATCGTTTTTATGACCTTCGTTACTGAATAATAAACCCTATTCATTCATTCACCACATAAAATATGATTAAGACTTGATGTAAGTTCAACAAACAACTAAAAGCAACAAAACTAACTTACCTAATTGTTATTGTTTTCAGAACTTTTGTTAAATAATATAATGAAAAATTCCTAGACTATCTATTAAAATATGGCATAAGTATTTTATTTATAGAAACTTTTTCACGGTAAATTTACTCCGTAACGTAGCTAAATGCCACTTTTAATTATTTCGCAGCATTAATTCGATTGATTTCCACAAATTTTAAAAAACCTCTGTGCTTACTTCCAGTATGTTAGTTTCCATTTTCGTTTTTACAAATAAAAAAGAAAATTATTTATATTTTCGTTTGTACTAATCGAGTTGCATTTGCTTAACTCGAACTAATTGAATTCAACCCGAACTAATCAGATCCATAACAACACTGACAATTCTATTCTCTTTGGTTTAACATCATGAATGAGGAAGCATTTAAAAAAACAAAAGCACTAGAAAAGCACCTCCACTAGATGGCGACTCTAGCAAAAGTTGATTTTTGTAGGAAATGGATGGATCAAAGACATTCATTTCCGTTTCTTTTAAATAACATATTAAAAAACTGAAATTTGAAAACTTCGAAACTTAGATATCAATACAAATACGAAAAATTACAATTAGAATATGAGTTGTTTATTGACTTTTGAAAACTGATTTACTTTTAAACATGACAGAAAACTATTAATGTTGTCATTGAGAAATCAAGAACGTAATTTAGCGACATCTAGTTTGATTTCGGGATTATTATTTTTTTTATAAATACTTCCTCACTGACATTTAGATCCTATCTCGTAAGTATATTGTTCTGTGGATCCTATGTACTATTTGTGCTTCCATTGCTTAGGGCCAGTTTTTTGATCCGTAGTCAAATGTCATTTCACCATTTGTTAACTTGACTATAGTTAAAACAATAACAAGTTGTTAACTCGCTATTTCGTTTTTTGATGCCAAATTTAATCATAGTCAAATTTAACCACTGGCCAATTTGTTGCCAGCGCAATGAGTCGTTTTTTCGCTATACATTGACATGGGTAATTTTTTTCTGGGTGACAACACTAACGGTTTGAATGAACGGAGCGAACTATATACCATTTTTGACATTAGGATTTTGTTCTAAATATCAAATAGACGAAAGAAATCTATAGATTATCAAAGAGTGTGGATGTTTATGGTTGTTCTGTTGTGTGCACTATGTGTTATTTTTCAGGAAGTATAAGGCAATTCTTTAATAATGTTAGAAAGCAACAAAGATATGTTTTTCCAGTTATTTTAAACTTAACTTTTTATAAAAAGCATATATTTGTTTTTTATTTATCCTATAGAGAAATACGTGAAAAGAATATAGTATCTAGTATCCAAGGTGGGATTGTAACGTTGGAAAATAAATCAAGGACTATGTATTTTATTTACTGTAGGCATATTTACCTTTTGTATTGTCTATTCGTGGAATTTATAAGATTTTTAATAATTGAATAATTTGGCATCTGCCCGTGGAAACAAGAAAATTCTTTCTATATAGTACAAATATACTAAGGATGATCAAGATAAAAATATAACTTATTTTCAATAACCCTATAACCAAAAAATGACAATTAATATTTTCCTATGAAATTGCATCATAAAACGAAATCCCAAAAATAGCTAATGTACAAATTCACTATGAAATCATGTAGGTTATAAAAACAACGTAAAAAAACAATAACAAGGGACCAAGTAAATACAACGCAGTTGTACATCTGTTCTTTTAACAATTGGTCATTTACTTAACCTAGCTTCCAGTGATGGTTTTTGACAAATGGTTGTAATTCTGACAATTGGTTAGGCTAACTATTAATCAAAAAACATATTTTTCTGATATTTAACCATTTGTCAAAGATTTTAACAAATGGTTGAG